AACTACAACATTATTGTCTTTAGTGAATTTTGATATGCTAAGTAAGTTTTTGGTTATTCTAGGAACACAAAGAACATGTTTTAAATGTAAGCATTTATTCTGCAAAATACTTGGCAAAGAAGTAAAACCAGTGTGTGTAATGTGAAGGAACTCACCACTACCTACTTGGAGTTGATATGATCCATCATAGTCCTTGCTAATGTTTAACTGAGTGAGGTCAGATGTAACATGGTCAGTTGCTCTTGAGTCCATGTACCAGGTAGGATCCTATGGAGTGGATGATGAAGCTTTATAAACAAACAGACCACTGTTCTGATTCACCATAACTGGCTAAACTCCATGGTCAGATGAATTAGGAATATGACCATAATCAGTAACAAAATTGGTATTTTGAACAGTTTGAGCAGTAAAATGAGCTTGAACTAATGCTTGAGATGGTACATTTCCAGAACTACCAACATGAGAATAATTTCGTGGAAAGGTAACATGTCCAAAGCCTTGCTGAGATGGAGTAAAAAAATTAGAAGAGTTGGATGCTCGACTAAAATTCTGATCCTGATGACTTGGCACATTGAACACACCGTAACTTTGATGTGAAATACCAAGATTAGTGTAGAAGCTCTGTGGACCAGTGGACTGCAGATTACCATTATTGTAAAAATTCTGATAACCAGTGCCTTGCATCTGTCCATTATAAGCTGAATTGTACCTGTGATAGCTCTGTATGGCAATATGTCCAGTCTTATTGCAAACCTGACAAACAGGTTTACCTCTTCCATTGGATCTGCCTCTACCTCTTCCAAAATTATTGAAATGAGGTCTATAACTTCCAAAGTTGATTCCAAAACTAGATCCAAAACAACTATTGGTATCAAGATAACCTTGCTGACCAAATTGAGGACTAGAAATGGAATGGCCTATCTGTCTAGTAACAACAGGGTAGTTTCCATGTAGTTTATGACTTCTTAATGTGTTTAAGGATGGATCAAGACTATGAGACACATTAGCAAAACCAGGGGTGACATTCTGAGTATGATTACTAGGCATAGATGTGGAACTGGCTTTTATTGTAGCTACAGTGTGAGCTGAGCTATTATGAAAGTCTACTGAATTGAACTTGTCCAACCTGATTTCGTACTTTTGCAATAGAAATTGAGCTTCTTGCAAGGACATTGAGTCAGATCTAGATTCTACTCTTGAGGTGAGGCTTACAACAACAGCGTCATATTCTGGACCTAGTCCATCTAAGATATATTGAAGCAAATCTTCCTCAAAAATAATTTGCCCACTAGCTGACAAACTATCAGAAATTCCTTTCATCTTTCTAACATATTCACTTATACTAAGATTGTCTTTGCCAGTATTCTGAAGTAAATTCATTAAATGTAAAGCCCTGGCTTTGGAGTTTGTAATGAATTCTTTTTCAAGAACAAACCAAATTTTAGTGGAATACTGACATTTAGAAATAGTTCTAAACATATTCTCAGATATCGATGCTAACAACCAGCTCACAAGAAACTTATAGCTCACAAGAAACTTATCAGTTCGTTTCCATAGAGTGTAAGCTGGATTGATCTTTTCTTTAGAAAACAACTCAACATTTTGACCATCAGCAGTATCTTTAGAACTATCGAAATTGCTAGGAATTAAAGGAGCTAGACAGGGAACTAAACCTGTTAGATGATCTTCCAATTCATGAGCTCCTACTGCAAAAAGTACTTGAGAACGCCAAAATCTGTAATTGTCTAGAGTAAGCTTTGCATTAATAACTTGGAGACTAGAGGAAATAGCTGAGGAAGTGAGATTAAAAGAATTGTTGACAGAGTTGTGAAACATTCTTTCAATGTTGTCAGTTGAATTAGAGCTATCAAATTTTTCTGCCATTGACGTTAGTCAAGGAAGCTCTGATACCATGTGAGGGTTAGGGATTTGAGAGCAAAAACAGAGAGAAAATGGGGATTAGAACTTTTCTTAATATTTCGATAAAGTGAACAGTGTTACAAGTCAGCTTTAATAGCTGATTATTTCAACATAAAAACGACGACACTTTAACCTTTCTTAAACGTCACCGTTTGTCTAACAGGGTCCACATGTCTCCCACGTGTCATACAAAGATAAATTATTACAACTTTAATTATTACAAAAAACAAAACATAATACAAAAGACAAGACAAAATACAATTATTTAAAAAGACAAAATATAATTATTATAAACGTCAACATCCAATGTCTTGTTTTAATCTGGATCTTTGAATTCTATCGGCAAAATCTTGGATGTCCATGCATTATCTTTCGCTTATTTGAAACACGTCAGCGTCTTACGTGTTGGACATTTTTGGTTGTCCAAATCTCCATCCTCTAGATTTTTATCAATCTTTGAAGTTATCCACTTGGATGAGATCAATAAAATCTTTCAGAGTCTCATCTTCTTGTTAGGATTCCTGGTCGTGGCCTAAGACCACCCTCAAAAGATCAATAGTACCTTCCATTAAAGTCTACTTTGATAGATGAGCTAAATCAAACCCTTCTAATAGCGTTCTTAATTGGGCTTGGTTATGCTCGAAGAGTTTATCCTGGATTGTCACATACCTGTCTCGTAACACTACCACTATCCCATTATGGATATGGACATTAGCATTTGCTTTAACAAGCTCCTCTAGTTTGGATTTAACCAGTAGCAATTTTGCAACATGCAGCTTGGTCCAATCTTCCTCTTCTATTCTTTGAATTTCTTCTAGTGCATAAGATCCCATTTTTACCTCATTATCTAATATAATTCGATACCATGGTTCTCCTACAAGAAATTCTCATATCTGTACAGGTTGAACATTATAGCTTTCTTGCAATGAGGAAGTAATCATGCAAGTGAAAGTGTCGACCTTTCGATTCAATACACAGAGCATTTATTTGTTATCCAGAGGAAAAGGTTTATTCAAGAAGATTGATACCCAAGTATGAATTAATCTTTAAAACGGAATCTATGTGTTTTTCTCTCCAATTAATTAACTAGGCTGTTTAGTTATTAATTGTAATAATATTTGTTAGACTGAGTATATTATTAATTTTTCTCTGAATAAAAATGTACATAAGCTTCTCTTTATATAAAGAAGCCCAGATTTCAGATGAGTTGAATCCGTAAAACAAGAAAAACAAATCAAAATAAAGATAATGACATTGGGGTCCACATGTCTCCCATATGTCATACAAAGATAAATTATTACATCTTTAATTATTACAAAAAAACAAAACATAATTATTACAAAAGACAAGACAAAATACAATTATTACAAAAGACAAAATATAATTATTATAAAAGTCAACATCCAATGCCATGGCAGTGGACAATAAGCATGTTCATGTCCTTCTTGTTTATAAGACCAGCAAAACATTGCTTTCTTCTTAGTTTTTTGTTTTTCTTTCTTAGGAGTAACCTCCTTTTCAAAAGTAATTTCCTTCGAGAGATAATCTTGAAGGTTGAAAATAAAAGCCGAAAGAACTCTTTAAGGATTGAAGAACTTGTAAAATCCTTTAAAGAGTAACTTTCTCCATGCTTTGATGATCAACCATTAAAGTTATGGGAAAGGACGGTATATATGCTTCACTTAAATTAAGGAAGGATGATGATACGATAACTACCAAATCTTATCCTTATACTCCTGATGCAAAGGAGGAATTTGGCAAGCGAATACCGGAATTGCTGGAAATGCAATTAATACGCGCTAGTAAAAGCCCACACTCTTCGCCAGCATTCATGGTCATGAATAGAGCTGAGCAAGAAAGAGGAAAAGTGTGGATGGTTATCGATTATAGAAAATTAAATGATAAAACTATTGATGATGCCTATAAGATACCAAACAAATCAGCTTGTTTGAATAAAGCTAAATTTGGAAAAATCTTCTCAAAATTCCGTCTAAAGTCAGGATTCTGGCATTTCAGAATAGAGGAGTCAAGCATTCATTGGGCTGCTTTCACCTGTCCGAAAGGATTGTTTGAATGGATGGTTCTGCCTTTTGGGCTTAAGTAGGCACAATCAATATTCCAGAGGAAGATGGATAGAATTTTCCTGATGCATATCAAACAATCCGTTCAATATTATCAGTACCCTTAGCCTTAAGCACACCTCCCCAGTACAAGTGAGACGCATCGCTTTCTATAATAAGTGCATCCAATAAATCTAACTTTGTTGCTGACTTTTTGTCTAGACACTTCTCTGAAGAATTGCAGGATAATGACAGACAAAAAGAAAACTGGAAATCACTTCTCATCTCATGCTCCAAGTGTAAACAATGAGGACACTTGAGGAGGCATTGTTCCTTGAAGATAACTTCAGCTCCAAGATAACTTTTCAAATACATTTAAGACCCAAAAAAAAAAAAAAAAAAAAAAAAAAAAAAGGGCAACCTTCAATTAGACATACTTATGTTTTATTTATTTTTAGTATAGCTTAAGATGTGAATTACTTACTACAAACAATCTTAATTCCTTGCTGCCGAAGAAGTCGAAAACCGATAGAAGTAGTGTAGAGATCATTATATTCATCACTGTCATTATAAATTTTCTCCAAAGCATCTTCTATCTCTTTTGCAAAATGATAATCTTCACCTAAACGTTGTATTGCATCAATCAAGTGTAATTTCTGAGCATGCGTTTCTGATTTATCCATTATCATCCATCTTACTTCTTGTTTCAGTTGCTCGTAGTCTTCTTGAGTCGTAGGATCAATTGTCTGCAAAAATAGAATAAAAAAAAAAGGCAGCTAAATACGTTTATTATGAAATTAAAAATATTTAAGGCATGTAGCAATCATGTATATTAAAGCAGTATGCGATAAATAAATTGGAAAGATCAATATGATCCCCAAAAGTGTAACAGTTTTATATCAAAATTTAAGTGGCAACAAATTAAAATTAAAATATCAAAGCATCGTATCTTAGCCAGGCTTTTTTTTTTTTTTTTTTTAAAAATAACATGTTTATAATGTCTCAAACAAATGTTTGCACCTTGAGTTCAGAAGTATCTTTGAGGAATTGATCTCCCCATATTGTGGGATGGAAATCAGCAGTATGACGAATAGTTTTTGGTGGTGAAGTTGGAACAGCTGTAACTTGAGAGGACGACATTTCTTCTTTGAACAAATCCCGAATGTTGTACTTCTGAGTTTCTTCTTCATTATGAGCGCACTCTTATATATGAGGAGGCTGTTTTTAAATTTAAAAATCGTGAATGATTATCAATAGGCCGTGGCATCTTCATGTTTCTAGCACTTCCACAGTAGGACGTGGCATCTCTCTCCAGAATGATTATCAATTACCATCCACTGCTTTGGCTCTTGCGTGAGCTATTACTAATAAGGTTATCCCCCAATTTCAACCCTTGGTCAAGGTCTAAGGGCCCTGGTGAACCGTTGGATCAAAATCCTAGGCCTGATACTGGAGTAATCTTATCAACTGTAAGTTAGCGGTTTCACTAATGTAAGATGCTAGTACTTAATAAATGATTATTTCGAGTTTAATTAAAAAAGAGTATAATGCTAACATCAATCCCATGATTAACAATGGTTTATAATATTGTTTCATCATCATTAAAGAAATTATTCCAGATATTATATTTAAATACTTTAACTAATAAAATATCATTAATTACTTGTCATTTTACACTCTTTAATCCGCACATTAAAAGAACTCAGGATAGACTTAATAAATTAATAAACATGCTGTCAGTTTTTTTTAATCATTACTATATGTATGCAACAAAATTTATACAAAGTAGTACTGGTTAATTCAATTTCATAACAAATTAAGATTTGTTTTGATAGATTTACCGGATCATCTTAAACATGATATTCTTGATAATCTTGACTAATATTTTTTTAGCATTTCTTATCCACGTATATTGAAGAAAAATTCTGCAATCTGCAAAGAAGAAAAAACAAAGGGCAAGGTAATGGTACCATGCTTGAGATGATGACGAGTAAGGTGACAATCGATCTCAATGTGCTTAGTTCGTTCATGAAAAACCAAGTTGTGAACAATCTGAATAGAACTCTGGTTGTCACAATACATAGGAGTGGGATGAGAAAGAGAAACTCTCATATCTGCAAGTAACCAACGTAACCAAACAATCTCTTTGGTAGTAGATGTCATAGCACGATATTCTGCTTCGGTTGAGGATTGAGAAACAATGGATTGTTTCTTGCTCTTCCAAGAAATAAGAGAATCACCCAAAAAGATACAAAAACCAGTAACAGACTTGCAATCTGTGGGATCACTGCCATGATCAGCATCAGAGTATGCACGCAGCTCAAAGGAAGAGGTGGATGGAAGTAAAAGACTCTGAAAGACTGTACCCCGAAGATACCGCAAAATACGAAGAACAGCTGCCCAATGAACTGTAGTAGGAGAAGCAACAAACTGACTAACAACATGAACAGCATATGCAATATCTAGATGAGTAATAGTGAGATATACCAAGCTCCCAACAATAGTACGGTATAAAGTAGGATCTGACAAAGGTAAACCATCAAAAGAAGAATACTTTGCGTTAACCTCAATCGAAGTATCTACAGTCTTATTATCAGTAAGTCTAGCCCGCTCAAGAATATCTGCAACATATCTCGACTGAGAAAGAAGATAGCCTCTAGGTGAGTAGGCTACCTCAATACCCAAGAAATATCGTAGAGAACCCAAATCCTTCATTTCAAACTGTTTAGCTAACTCTATCTTCAAAACTGAAATACCATCAATATCATCACCAATAATAATCATGTCATCAACATATAAAGACAGAATGATACGACATGCATTAGTGCACTTAACAAAAATAGCAGAATCATGACTACTAGAAGTAAATCCAAGGGAAGAGATCACAACATAAAATTTCTCAAACCAAGCATGAGGTGCTTGTTTAAGGCCATATAACAATTTCTTGAGCTTGCAAACATACCCAGAATCATGTGAAACACCAGGAGGGGGCGCTATATAAACTTCTTCTTGAAGATCTCCATTCAAGAAGGCATTTTTAACATCAAGTTGAGAGATATGCCACTGACGAACCGAAGCTACTGCAATAAGAGTATGAATAGTAGTCATTTTTACAACAGGAGCAAATGTCTCCTCATAATCCATACCATACTATTGAGAGTACCCTTTTATAACCAACCTAGCTTTGTATCGCTCAATAGATCCATCAGAATTAGTCGATCTTATACACCCAATGACAACCAACAACAGTCTTACCAGGAGGTAGAGGAACCAAATCCCAAGTACTTGTCTTATGCAAAGCAGAAAGTTCCTCATCCATAGCTTGCTGCCAAAGAGGATCAAGAATTGCCTCTTTATAGGAAAAGGGCTGAGAGAGACAATGAATAGAGGCTAAAAATGAAGCAAAAGATGAAGAATAACAAGAATAAGCAAAATCTAGTAACTTTGTGGACTTACGAATGCATATGGATTGACGTAGAGGTGGATCCACAATCTTAGACGGAGCTTGAGGGACCATAGGAAAAGAGGGAGCTTCAGGTGTGCCGGAGAGTAAAGTGTCAGTACCTGCAGAATGATCAGTACGAATTGGTCGAGTATAATGTAAAGGTAACGGGGGAAGAACATGAGAAGGGGTATTTGAAATACTAGGAACCTGAGATGACAAACTATCAGAATCCTCAGAAAAATGATCTATACGAATAAGATCAGATCTAGTCAAGTTATGAGTAGGGGATGGAATAGAAAAGAAAGGTATATGCTCAAGAAGAACAACATGACGAGACACATAAAGTTTCTGAGTTATTGGATCAAAAAAACGATACCCTTTTTTACCTTCACCATAACCAAGAAAGACACAAATAGCAAATCGAGAGGACAACTTGCTGCGTTCTACATGAGGACGAAGAACGAAACAAGTACAACCAAAAACTCTAAAGAAAGAATAATCAGAGGCATACCCATACAAGTTTTCGAAAGGAGAAAAACCTGAAATATGAGAAGATGGAATTGTATTAATCAAACCGACATCAGTAAGAACAGCTTCAACCCAAAACACACTAGGAATAGAAGCAGACAACAAGAGAGAACGAGCAATTTCAACAATGTGCTTATGTTTTCTTTCAGCAACAACATTTTGCTCAGGAGTATCTGTACACGAGGTTTGGTGAACAGTTCCATCTAATGCAAGCAACTCACAAAATTTATTAGAAGCGTATTCCCCACCCAAATCACACCTAAAACATTTGATAACATCAGAATATTGAGTTTTCACAAGAGCTCGAAAGGCTGTATATATCTCAAAGAATTCAAAACGATGTTTCATTAAATAAACCCAACAATAATGAGTATGATCATCAATAAAAGAAATATAATATCGAGACCCTTCTTTTTTGGCAACAGGAGAAGGTCCCCATACATCAGAATGAATCAAATCAAATAGAGAAGAAGAAACAGAAATACTTCGATTAAAAGGTAAAGCTGAAAATTTTGCCAGTTTACATCCACTACAATCAGAAATATCACAAGTTTGCAAATTTCTTAAAGCTCCTGTGGAGGCCAAAAATCTCAAACAAGAAGACGAAACATGACCTAAACGAGAATGTCATAAATAAAAACTAGAAGAAGAAGGACTCAAATGAAAAGAAGACAAATCAACACTAGTAGTAGCAGCAACAACAAAAATAGAAGCAGTAGCAACTGGCACTTTTAACTCATCCAAAATATATAGTCCCCCCTTCCTACGGCCTGTCCCAATCAGCTTTCGAGACTGCAGATCCTGCACATAACAAGAAGAAGAGGAAAATGTGACTAAATTACCAGAATCACATAACTAACCAACAGAAGCAAGATTTAATGTAAGTTTCAGAATATGATAAACATTAGAGAGAGACAAGTAAGGTGTGACAATAGAACCAACACCTACTAAAGGCATAGGAGTGCCATCAACAGTCATGATAGGAATAGAAGACGAAGGAGACACAGAAGCAAAAGATGAAAAATCTGGAGACATATGATGTGAAGCACTAGAATCCAAGACCCATACAGAATGTGACATACCTGAAGAACTATGAGGAAACTAACCTACGGAAGAAGAAGCAGACATAGCTTATGGCTATAAGGAGAGAAACTTCTAAAATTGCTCAGCCAGAGTACTAGGATCAATGAAAAGACATGATGAAACAACTACTGCTGTATTAGACTGTGGTGGTTTGTAACCTTGAGGTGGTCTATGAGCATTAGATTGTGACTGGTTGCCAGGCTTCCAAGCTTGAGATTGTTGATGCGATTGATTATGCTGTCTCAACTTAGGACACTGAGCCTTCCAATGACCTTTTTGCTTACAGAAATTGCACTCGTTGAAGGCAACCCTTGTGTAAGGCTTATTCTAATTATTAAAGAGTGGATTAGAAGGTACTGCTAACATAGAAGGATTATAAGTAGAAAGAATTCCCTTTTTAGAATAAGACTTGAGGCATATTTCTTCAGCCAATAACTCACTGACAATTGAGTCAACAAAAGGAAGTGGAGAACGATGCAAAATTGAACCTCTAAGTCCTTCAAAATCACTACGAAGTGTCGTTAAAAACTATACCAACCGTTGCTGCTCTTTACGAGCAATATAGGCACCACATGCCTTTAATTCTGCAGATTCTGTAAGAGCCAATTGATCCCAAAGATCTGTCATAGCAGAATAAAACTCATGAACACTCATATTCTTCTGTTGAAGAGCTCGTATGTCATTCTCCAATTGATACTGCTTTGCAAAATTTGATTGAGTAAATAACTTTTGCAAATGATCCCAAACTTCCTTTGCTGTCTCATACTTCGTCAACAGTGTACCTATGGAATGCTCAACAGAATTATTAATCCAAGTGATAATTTTTGCATTGTTTACTTCCCATGAATCTATCAAAGCAGCATAACCCTCATCATTATCCCTAGGTTTCACAGAAGTTCCACTAACATATCCCCACATCTTTTTACCCTTAAGAAAATTTCTCATCACATAACTCCAATATGAATAATTCTTGTCATCTAACCTCACACTCACAGACTGAAGCGAATCATCTCTTTCAATAGCCATAATAAAAAAACAAAGAAGACCAGTATGCAAAAGAAAGGAAAACGAAATACCAGATTGCAGAAA